TCAGCCTTTGCATCTCAAGACCCAAGGCTTGCAAAAGCAGAGACTGGCCTGGCTTCGCTGTCTGGCTGAAGTCCCTCGGACGACTGACAGCATGCGCTGCCAACCCCGGCTTTCATTCCTCCATGCAGTTCGTGAGCCAGGAGCCTGCTTTGGCTCGCTCTCCAAGTGCTAGTGCTGCAACCCACAACTCACATCGCTCAATGCCAGCAAAAATCCTCCGACGTGGGAATGCCTAGCAGATGGCCTGGTAGCGAGATGGCTAGCTGTAGCCTGTGCAGGGATATGGGAAGACCTAGCAGACGACCTGGCATTGCGAACCATCATCCAGGCTGAGTTGCAGCCTCGGTCATGGCATTTTCCTACCTACAAGAGCCCTCGCCGTTCGCTGGCCTGCAGTGCTTGTGGTTTGAAGGTGGCTGCCCTATCCTGCTGTGAAGGGGGTGGTGGTGCAGAGAGACTTTGCTGCTTTTCACCGGCATGCCCAGGAGAACCCAGTGGGCTGGCGTAGAGGGATGTTGAAGCCCTCTTCCTCGCCCGGCACACGTTGATGCCCAAGGCTGTGTTTTCAGAAAGCATTATCCCATGTAAAAAATGGGAGCTCTTCTATACAAGACCCTGATAAGCAGATGCTAACGGCTCTGATCACCGAGTACGGGGTCGTGACTTCGGTCTCGCTTCCCCAGGGTGAAAGGTCAGCAATGCAAGTGCAAAATAGCTATCGTGCTCCACATTCACACCCAGGCTCTCCGGCAGTACCGCCCCTCTGCAGACAAGCCCTAAGCAAATATTTGAATGCACGCAGAACATATGGCAAATAGCGCAGAGTGTCATCTGCCTGGAACGAAGCCCGTCATACCTGACCAACACGATTTCCTTCTACGATTCAGCGACAGGATCTGTGGACGAGGGGAGAGCAGCAGCTTTAGACTTTAGCAAGGCTTTAAACACTGCTTCCAAGACACTCTCATTAGCAAGCCAAAGAAATACAGACTGGGGGAAAAGTACTGTAAGGCAGAGACATAACTGGTTGGATCATTGCGCTCAACAAATAGTCAGTAAGGGGTCAATGTCTAGCTGCGAGGAGGTATCCAGTGAGGTTCCCCAGGGGTCTGCTCTAAGTCCAGTATTATGCAATGCCTTCATTAATGATTTGGACAATGGGATCGAGTGCACGCTTGGAAAATTTGTGGATGACTCCACGTTGCAAGGGCTTGAGGACACTCCGGAGGATAGGGGTTGGATCCAGACTCAACGACATGGTATGGAGAATATCTACCATCGCCCGTATGAAATCCAACAAGGACAAGTGCTAAGCCCTGCAATTGGGATTAAATAATTGCATGCACAAATACAGGCAGCGGGGATGACTGGCTAGGCTGCAGAGAAGGAACTGGGAGTTATGGGGCACTATCCGCTGAATACGAACTAGCAGTGTGTTCTTGTTGCAAAAAAAGCAGCCAACAGCATCCTGCGTGGTCCTGCAAACAAAAGTCGTGATTCTTTTGCTCAGGTCAGTACTTTGAGGCCTCGCCTAGAGCCCTGTGTCCAGGTTGGGGCCTGTCGTTTCAAGGAAGATGGGGACAGATTTGAAGGAGTCTGGCAGAGAGTGACAAAGATGATTAGTGGCCTGGACCACAAGACTTAGGAGGAAAAGCCAGAAAAGCAAAGGCTGGTCTGAAGAAGGGAAAACTGAGGAGGGAGATTTGATGACAGTTCGAATACCTGAAGGGTGATTGCAGAGAGGATGGCGGTGGGCTTTCCTCTGTGGTCGCAGGGGACAGGACTAGGTGCAATGGCCTCAAGCTGTAGCAGAGGAAACTGAGGCTGGAGATAAGGAGGAACTTTCTGACTCCAAGGGTGGTCGGGCGGGCTGTGGCACAGGATGCCCAGAGAAGTGGCGGCATCTCCATTCTTGGAAGTCTTCAAGAGCAGGTTGGACAGACCCGTGGCTGGGATGGTTTAGTCAGGGATGGTACAGTCTTGAGCAAGGGCTTGGACTAGATGACCTGGTGAAGTCCCTTCCAGCCCTATGTGCCTGTGATCCTAATACTAGCAATAGCGTTGAAATAGCAGCTACCAGACAGGCAGTCGGTCAGCATCCCTCATAGAAAGTGTCCCGTGCGGTGCTGCTGTGCATGCAGGTCCAGTGCAATATTTGCACACCCCAGATAAGTGTCATCCCCTCTGACTTCTGCTCCAAGATAGTTTCCCAGCTTCTCTCCACAGCAGGGCTTGCAGCCTGGGCTGAATGCCACTGGGATGCTCCAGGGGTTTGGGTTGTAGCCGTGTTGGTCTAAGGACATAGGCAGACAAGGTTCCTTGGGTGAATTTGATATCTTTTATTAGACCAACCCAAATGGTTGGAGAATAGTTATTAAGCAAGCTTTCGGGTTCAAAAACCCTTCGTCAGGCTCAGGAAGCTTCAGCAGTTGGTGTGTGCTCTTCCTGGATGGGATGCTCCAGCACTGGAGAAGGATGGCAGAGCTGCATGTGTTAGTGAGCGCCAGGGTCTCCAGCACTAGCAGCCTTCCAGCCTTGCCGTGAAGCAGTGACCGGGCCGCAGGAGCTGGCAAAACAGCAACCTGTAGCCTGCGCCCGAAGTGGTGGAGGTGCCAGCACTCAGGCATCACCATGGCCACACTGGGATGCGGCCTGCATCAATCAGGTGGTGGGACCAGAAGATTGATAACCTCTCATATATATGAGAGGCCCAAGAGCTGCAATATCCAACATGCTGGTGACTTCAGTCCTGTATGAACAGACTGGGAGACAGTTCCTCAAGGTACTTACAGTCCAGACTGTTGTATCTAGCATGGTCATAAGGCTCTAGGTTAAAGCAAAGAGTTGGGGGTGAGGGGAAGTGGGAGCCTGATGGTTCGGATTAAACGCATCTGTGTTTTAGTCAGAGCCTTTTCTTCCTTTGACAGGTTTTATGTGCAAGGGCTGCTTGGTCCTGCAGCCTGGCTCGTCTCGTGGCCATGTCATTGCTGCCTTTGCATGTCCTTGCTGAGCGGCTGTGGTGAGAGGCAATACTGGTTTCTGTGGGTCCCCTCCCACTTCGTGTCCAAGATGAAGCAGTGCGCCACGCTCCTTTGGCCGGCACAACAGAAGCGGGGGTAAAAAGCAGCCACGCGACCTCCCATTTCTTTGCTGTTAAAGCTTTGGAGGGTGAGCTCGGATCCTGGCAGACACCCACTGCCCTGCTGGAGCTGCCCGCAGTCCAGCACAAGCGGGCCACAGGTGCTTGACTTGAGCAGAAGGCTTTCACCTCTCGGACCCGTTCATTTCCCCAACATAGCCCGCCGCCCCCCATCCCCTCCATCTAAACACAGCCTCTTGCAGCACTCCAAACCCACGGGCATGCTGGCTTCGTCCATCACCTCTTCAGAGGCGTGCGGCACCGATACAAGCGGACGCTCATAATTTGCAAGGGCTCCTAAACGCAACTTCTCTCCTCTTGGCTGGCGCAAGCAGTGCGCTGCTGTATACCCAGATCAGCCTGGTTGCATGGCATCTCCTTGCCTTATTTTCCTCCCTGTGCAGATTTCTTTGGATGAGGTGCAGCCCACAGAGGTGGCCAGACTCCCCCTCCTGCAAATGGCTTCCCGTCTTGCTCCTGGATCTTCTTTGTTCTCATTCAACCTAGCTTTGTCTTAACCAGGGTGATTTCCACCGCCCCCCTACTCCAAAGGCCCAGCCTGTCGAGCTAATCCTGCAGTGGGGAGTTTCCAAGCTCTACTTCCCCTTCCCTGCAATGAAGGCTGTCTCTCAAAGCGTTTCCATCTGCACAAGCAACCACAATGACCAACTTTGTCCCTAGCTGTGACGCAGCTATTGGTGGCTCCCACTGCTCTGCAGCATCTCATAATAAGGCAGCTTGAGCACAGGAGCCAGAAGCCACATAGTGATGCTCCAGATCAGCTCACAACCCCTATGGACTCATAGAAAACGAGGGTTGGAAGTGACCTTGGGAGGTCACATCTAGTCCAACCCCCTGCTCCAAGCAGGACCAGCCCCAACTACATCATCCCAGCCAAGGCTTTGTCTAGCCAGGTCTTCAAAACCTCCAAGGATGGAGAGTCTGCAACCTCTTTAGGTAGCCTGCTCCAGTGCTTCACCACCCTCCTCCTGAGAAAGTTTCTCCTAATATCCAATCTCAACTTCCCTTGCTGCAGCTTGAGCCCATTGCTCCTTGCCCTGCCATCTGCACCCACTGAGAACAGCCCGGCTCCATCCTCTTTGCAACCCGCTGCAGGGAGTTGAAGGCTGCTATGCAATCCCCGCTCCGTCTTCTCTTCTCCAAACCAAAATCAGCCCAGTTCCCTCCTGTAACACTATAAATACAAATGCACCCCAGAGGAGAAGCTTGAAGCCCGGGGAGAAAGTCAGGTGTCTTCTTCATTGCATGCAGGCAACGGGAGCCTGAGAGAGGGGCTGAGCAGCTTGCCCAAAGGCCTCGCCATGACTTGCTGGAGGAAAAAAGGAGCAGAGCTCAGGGACCTGGACCTCTGTCCCAGATCTGCAAGCCTCAGCTCTTGCTGGCTGGTGCAGTTGGCAGCCAATAACCAGGGCTGGCTCAAGAGAAAGCAGTTTCCTGAAGATATATCCCGCTAGCGGGGGGGCGGACACACACACACACAGGGACAGCTGAGAGCTGCCTGGCCAGACTTTGGGCTCCATTTGGAGTAGGGCTGCTTTAATACTGCCACGCAGCCAGGAGAGCCTGGCAAGCAGACCTGCCATTGATTTACTGTGTGCCCTTGGGCAAGTGATGCAGGGCAGCTCCATGCCTCAGTTTCCCCATGCAGGGGATGGAGGTGGAGGAGGGAGGGAGAGGGACGGTACCACCAGGCAGCCCCAAAGTGAGTAGCTGCTTCTGGACTTATGACCCACCCAAAGGTAGCTGCGAAGGCAACTTGCCGTGGCCCTCCCCGGACTCCAGTGCCCTGTGGAAAGCCCCCCCCCCAAGAGAGGAAGAGAAGAAAACTTGGAGACAAAAGTCCGCTTGAAACTCATGTGTTTTATTTAACGTCCTGACGTCCAGACATAAAACTAGGAGGCTTAAAAAACCAGATGGCTAAAAAAACCCCAAAACAACCCCAAATACACATATCAGTAAATAAAGAAGGCAAAGGTGGGGACCCTGTTGGCTGCAGCTTGGCCGACGCCAGCCGGGTTAAAAAGCAGATCCCCACGCCGCCCGCATAAATAAGGATGTAAAAACAGACAGGACTAGAGGGCCCGACGCTGCGTGCTAGCGCTAAGCCCTACTGTAAACAATGGGGTAAACCCTCCCGTGGGGCTGGGGAGAGAAGATGGGAGGACATGAGCTTGGGCTGGGACAGAGACACCCGCTCCAGGTCCCTGCTATGCCTGGCATGTGGCATCTGCACGGTGACATCTGAGCCTCCCCCAGCCAGGAGGAGGTGATCCGTGGTCCCGCGTTACCCGATTCACTGGTACAAAGTTGGGGAGGTGGGGGGTGCTGAAGCCCTCAAACCTAACACTTCTGACCCACCGACGAGGGTCGGGCACTACAGAGCTGGGCTCGCGAATGAAACACCGTGGCACGCTCAGCCGTGCAGCGTTCCCGGGGCCAGGACTGTAAGAGGCGGCTCGACGCCGCTTTCCGAGGCTGGGCCCTCTGGAGAAAGGCCCCCATGCATCAGTCTTCCCCGGGGCAGCAGCGCCCGCTGCAGACCCCTGCACTAGGCTCCAAGTCTCGGGGTCAGGGGCAGCCATTTGTACTAGCAGCAACTGCCCCCTTGATTGCAGGGCCGTGCCCCCACAAGCCGCCCTGGACTGAACAAGCTGCGGCGGTTAAAAGCAATACTGCGGCCGTACACCAAGGCCCTCCCCGGGACATGCGCTCGTGAGCACGGGGACGGGAGCCTGGCTGGGGTGCTAGGCATCCTCCTCAGTAGCAGCCAGCGCTGGGGCCTGAGCTGGATCCCACATCAGCTCTGCAAAAGCTGTCCTGGCAGAAGCCGGAGCAGCCCCTGGACACTGAAGTGGGGGCCGGGAGAGCCCTGCCCTACAGCCGGGGGACTGGGCCCCCGTGCCAGTGCAGCAGGGGAGAGCTCAAAGCCCCTCTCCAAGCCTGCCGGGAGAATCCCCCCCATCCCGGGACCCAGCACTTACAGCTCCTTGCTCGAAAACCCATCGTGCCCACAGGCACAATTAAAAGCCCGGCCGAGTGCATTCTGGCTCACTGGCCAGGCAAGGTCCTATTCAGCACATGGAGCAATATTTGCTGCTCCCCCGGGGGCCAGAACGCACTGCAGAAGTGATGTTCGCCCAGGGGCCAGGACCCCCCGGCTTCCCTGTGCTACTATCAAGTCCCACCAGCACCTGCCCGCCCGAGAGCCACATTAGACTCACTCAAGCTGTGTGGCCAACCCCTCCCCTTGCTCAAAAAATCATGGGTCTGCCGCTTTCTCACCCACCACAAGACCAGGACATTAAATACAGACACTGCTTTGTTACATTTCCTTCCTGGCTCCAAGCCTTCCAGCTTCCCCAGGGCAACCGTTCCAGCCACGAAGGCTAGAAACTTTGGGAAATGTATTTTTAAATGAAGGCAGAGATTCTCCTCTCATCCCATGACTCCAGGAGCTGGGCCTTGAAGAGGAAAAAAACCATGCCCTCCTTCTTCCCAGGCTCACCATGATATCATGAGAGCTGGCAATGCTGCAGAAGAGCTGTGCCTGGACTAATGCTATCACCGCTCAGACGCTGCTGTGGCCGGAGGGCTGGCGGTTCCCCAGGCTGGGTCTTCTCCAGCACGGGAAATGTGCCCAGGGTTTGCTTTTGTTCATAAAAGGGAGCTAGGGAAGAAATACTGCAGACAGATCAAGTCAATGCCCCGGCCCCCGAAGCTGTCCCTGCCCCCTATGTTGGAGTGTGACGTGCTCCCTTGTGCTGGGTCCCGTGGGAATTAGGAACATGCTCCGGGATCAGGAAGAAGCCTCCCCTCTCTCTCCCAACCCTCCTCAACCCCCCCTTGTAAGCACACAGCTGGAGCATACACCCAAGTCCTTGCCCTGTGCACCGAAGACCTTGGAGCAGGTCCCCCAGCCCGGCGCCAAGCTGCCTCCCGCCCTCCCTGACGAGTCCTTCTTTAAAAGAAAAATGCTTTTGGCCATGCCAGGCACCTCCCTAGTCTGTTCCCGCTGGCATGTGCTGGTGCCACGTGGCCCCCAATCCTCCGGGGGTGCGTGCGGAGATCTCCCGAGGGGGAAAGGGGTGCCTTCAGCATCGTCCAGCGTGTGCGTTTCTTGGGTGGACGGTCCAACCAGAAGCCTCCGGGTGAGCTGCCGTTCAGGTCTCCTGGCGCACGGGGGACTCAGATGATTACCTATGAACAGGAGAGGGGAGAGATGTGGGGTTGAGGAGGGATGCGAGACTGGGGGATCGGCTGGCCCAGCAAACCTGGGGGGGGGTGTTCGCCTGCCACAGAAGCCTTGGGAGGGCATGGAGCTACCCTGCGGACCTGGTGCGAGGAAACACCTGCTCAGCCCTGCCACTGACTCTCTGTGCGGCCTGGGGCACGTCACTGATCCTGTGCCTCCGTTTCCTCCTTGGTAAAAATGAGGCAGAGGCTCCTTCCCTTCCTCACAAAGGAGCTGAGGAGCCACACAAGGGTGTTTCAGAGGGCGCTTGGCAAGCTGAGATGCTTCTCACCCCTACTAGCCCTGTTTTTTCTGACTTCAGCTACCAGCAGGATTAAGGGCAGCCAAGGGCCCACCGGGGGAAGTGACCTACTCTGCTGCTCCTGCAGCCTGGCAAAATCCCTAGGGAAGAGGTTTGCATCTGAGCTGGCTGCTCTCCGATACACAGTCATGCACACCAGGGTGTGCACATCCTGCGTCCGAGACACAGTGCACACACACAGCCCGCTCTGGGGTGGAGAGAGACCAACAGCAGGTGACCTCCCAGGGGCGGGTGAGGGGCAACTGGGTTCCCCGTGGAGACAGGAGTGGGCAGAGGGAGATTGCAATTTGGGCTGAAGGGTCTCTGGGTTTCAGGTAAGCCCCATGGACCCCCCTTGTCTGCTTCACAAGGGGCCACATCACCTGGCTGTTCGTGGGGCTGCACCATCTCAGCCCCGTGGGGTCCCAGCTCCCCTCCCCTGCGAGATGAGCCCCTTGTAAGAGGGTCCGTACGCACAGATCAAGACTCAGATCCCAGGAAGCAGACCATAGAGACAGCTGGCGGGAGCCGCACAATGATGGATACACCCTGGAGGGACACAGCGGCCCCCACGATGGGCGAGTGCCATCCTAGGGCATACCGTGCCAGGTGGCATCGCTTGCAAGAGTGAGCAATGCTGGCTTCCTCAGAGCCCCTATACTCCTCCTCACCCCAAAACCAGCGGGTTCGTGTCTAGTACCCCCGAGCAGCACTGCCGTAACCTAAGGGAGGCTTTGGCCCGAAGAGCCTGCAGCGTGAAGTCAAGCCAATGAGCTCATTCGTGAATAAACAGAGCGCTGGGAAATCCGACTGAAGAGGAAGGGGGTGGAAAAACTGGGATTATTTAGTCTGGAGAAAAGGTTTGATAACACTACAGCAGAAGGATGGCTGGACAGACGACAGGGAGAGCGCAGCTGCATGGGACAGGACAAGGAGTCATGGTCTTAAATTGCAAAGGGAATCGAGGTTGGAGGTTTGGGAGATCTTTGTCTCTGGGAGGCTACCCAGGGAGGCTGTGGCACCTCCACCCTTGGCAGCGCTAAAAGCAAGCTGGACAGACACTTGGCCGGGAGGGTTTAGACAGGGCTGATCCTGCCTGGAGCAGGGACGGACGACACGTGACCCGAGGACCCTGCCAGCCCTGTTTTTCTGACTCTAGCTACCGGCACGATCAAAGGCAGCAAGGGGCGGACTGGGGGAAGTGACCTGCTCTGCTGTTTAAAAAATGAATGGCAGATCCCTAAGGCAGCCTGGCTTGTCCAGAAATTACCCAGGGATTGAGGATAGGAGCTAAGACCCCCTGTCCTTGCTCGGCTGGACCCCACAGCCCAGGGAGAGGGTGCTGCAGGGGAAAGGATGCATTTATTATAATGGGTGCAAGGGTTTCTTAATGTGGTTTAAGAGGCGTGCTGGAAAGCCTATAACAGAGGATGTATGCATATATCATATATTTTAATAAGAAAAAAAAAAAAAAAAAGAGGGGGCTGCAGTCTGAATGCCTGCTCTCTGCCTGTGGGCTGGGAGGTGGACGGCTCGTTAGGCGATGCGTCTCTCAGCCCAGGCCTGGCCCTTGGGTCCTCTCCCCTGGACTAGAGCAAGCGGTGGCTCACGGCACTGGGCGCCAACCCAGAGGCAGCACAGCCTGGGCGAATCCGCCCTT